TCACAGGCAGATGGGGTCACATAGGAAGACAAAGTAGAAGAAAACTAGAAAAGAAGAATAAAACTATTAAAATGGATCAAAAATAGAAAAACCAAATGGAAAAAAATAAAATAAAGTTAAAAGTAAAACTGTCATTTGAATGGGGTCTATGCTAGCTATTGTGTGTATGAGTCCCCCTTATGGAGAAGGGATCCTGGAGAAGAAAGAAGGGGAAACCATGGTTAAAAGTGTTGCTTGGGTAATGAGGATGTCTGCACCTAGCTGCCCAAGTGGTCTGCTATGTACACAAGGCCCCCAGAAGCCAGCAAGGTAAGCAGTTTGGCTGGCTGGATTAGGACGGAGTGCACAGAAATGGCTTGGGCCACTGGTCAATGATGAAAGGGGATCAGTTATAGTCAGCAGGCGTTGCTGGTCTCCAACTTTAAGAAACCTGTGTTTTTAGCCTTTAAGGTGCTTTTCTGGCTTCCAGGGAGTGCAGGTCTTTCATTCTGTTGGGATGTCTCCAGTAGTTACTAAGGAGAGCTTCCTGTTCATGTTACTTGGTGGTATAGACCCTCATATCTCCCATAGTTTGATTTCTTGACTGTTACTTCCATAGATGTGAGTATGGAACTAAATTAAATAAAATTCTTGACAATTAAAAAAAAAAGTTCATCAGGCAAGTTCCTGAGGGTTGGACCGTCTCTCCCTGGGCTGACCACTCTGCCCAAGGGTAAAGCTTGTTACATTGCTGGTCCAGAACTTAATGGAAGTGGAATCCATATAGAGCAGTGGTCCTCAATCTGTGGGTCATGACCTCTTTGGGGGTTGAATGACCCTTTCACAGGGGTTGTCCGATTCATAACAGTAGCAAAACTACAGTTATGAAGTAGCAATGAAAATAATTTTATGCTTGGGGGTCACCACAACATGAGGAACTATATTAAAGGGTCACAGCATTAGGAAGGTTGAGAACCACTGATATAGAGACTCAAATTGGATTTAGAACTTTGAGTAGTGTGTTAGTCTGGGTAGACTAGAGAAACAAATTCATAGACACTCAGATGTGTATAAGACAGACATTTATATACAAGAGCAATTGAATATTGGGAAAATATCCTAGCCCAGTCCAGATCAAGTCCATAAGTCCATTATTAGCCCATATGTCTGATATCCATCTATAACCTTCTCTCTAGACTCACGAAACACATGCAATGGCACCAAATGCAGGAATATCACAGGCCAGTGGGTGGGAAGTTCTGTGGACCCAGTGGCATTGTAAGCATCTCAGCGCTGGCAGGGGTCTCCATGTGGCTCCTCCAGCTCCCAGGGCTCTGGCTGCATCAGGGTACCTCCATGTGACTTCTCGTCAGGGAATGAGTGTCCCCCTTCCAGTGAGCTATTTATCTCCTCAGCGCCTTCAAATGAGGTCATCAAGCCACGCTTTGATTGACAGGTAAACTCCACCCCTTCACTCGTAAGTCTCAAATTGACAACAGATTATGTAACTACCACAGAGAAAGTAAAGTCTTCTGAAACCTAGTCCTTATAAAACCCTTAGACCAGCGGTTCTCAACCTGTGGGTCGTGACCCCGTCGGGGGTTGAACGACCCTTTCACATGGGTCGCCTGATTCATAGCAGTAGCAAAATTACAGTTATGAAATAGCAACAAAAATAATTTTATGGTTGGGGGGTCACCACAACATGAGGAACTGTCGCGGCATTAGGAAGGTGGTTCTCAACCTTAGTCTAACCGCCTTAGACTAATATCCTCTTTTATATGACTCCCCACAGAGCATGTTTCTCTGTGACCCTCCCTTCTAGTATCTAAAATCTTTCATCTTTCAAATCCTAGTCATCAGCTTCCTCCCCAAGACTCTTCTGCAAAGAATAGTCCTACACTCTTCCAGCTTGGGCCAAGCCTGAGAGCATTTGCTATCCACACATCAATGTCCCGTACCGAACTCCAGACCCCCAAACCACCAAGCGTGATCACATCATTTGACCCACTTTCTTCCTTGGACTAATTTTTCAAGAGAACACCCAGGAGACCATGGATCAGCAGCTGGACCTCCACTTATAGGGAGAGGCAGGCTGGAGTGTGAGGAGAGGTGAAAAGGTGTCAGAATCCTGGAATTCTAAGAAGATAAAAGATTCAGTTTCCCTCTATTTGGGGAGCCCTTGGTATTTTGGTTATAAGACTCTAAGCTGCTCCTAATCTGACAGACAATAAAATCTCCTTCCCCTTCTCTCACATGTTATGCCTGCTTAATTTCTGTTGGCTAATAAACTAGAAGGATGCATAGGTTAGGCAAAATTACTCAGAATTTAATCTCTAATATATGAATCCCTTGCAAGCTTTGAAGATTGCAGTTATGCAATGGAGGTAGCAATGAAGCACTGAACAGGTTATTAGACCAATTAACATGGATGTCCCATGAAACCATATCCTCAAATCTACAAACCATTCAATTTGCCAACCCAGGTCTCTCAATGGCTGAGAAAGAGAGATTGGATAGAAAGAGAGATTGGATAAAACAGGCACAGTTTTATTTTGGTTGATCAAGCAAAGAGCAAGCTAGGTTTAGAGTCACCCAAACAAGCCCCACAAAAGAGGGGCTTTGCAGTTTTGTATTCTTACACCAGGAAGTAAATTGAGGGGATTATGAATATGTAGCAGATTATAGGCACTGTTTTTGGGGTCTCCTATGGGATAGTACTGATATATTTTCTCAAAGGAGAGAGGGCAACACACAGGGGTTTATTATGAGAAAGTTTAAAGAAAATTGACATCTACACTGCTGAGTAAAAGATCAGGTCAATCTTACTGAGGAATTTTCATGCATCACCACAACATCCCTGCTCACATTCTGATGGTAGCAAGGGCTGTCCTGGGAGAATTTGTTGGGAAACTGACATCATCGATCCAAAGGCCTGATCTTGCTCCTTCAGGCTGTTTGTTTGTTTTTTCCCAAACCCAAGGAACATTTAAAAGGAACATGATTTGAGTCCCTCAAGGATGTCAAGGGTGCAGAATTCTTTGGGGAAGGACATAGAGAGATGGAAACACTGTATAGACCTAGATGGGGTGTGTCAGGCTGGGTTGACCAGAGAAACAAATCCAGTGACACTCATATATGTGTAAGAAAGAGCTTTATGCGGGGAGGTGACAAGCCAGTCAGGGTGCAGTGTAGCAATGATGAAACATGCAACTTTCCTCTAGTTCCTAAATGTTTCCTCCCCACCCACTA